GCTTTGTGTAGGCCCATGTGCGTTCCTGCGTGCGTGCGTGCATGCATGCAGTCTAAGGTCATCTCGCGCGGCCTGTCCCGCGAACGCTATTGAACAAGGAATTATTGTGGCGTCAGCGGCAGGCTCAACGCCTTAGGAGAGCTGACAAGGTTGCTAGCCTTTGGTCAGGCTACCATCCTAACAATGACGTCATTAAATTCTGCTCAACTCGTGATCTTTGCCTTGTTCAACTTTCTTCCGGGAAAACAATATTTCAATAAAACTTTTCTATTTAGCGGTTATATGTAACGACCGAATACTAGGTTAAAATTTCCTACATGCACATACAGGTCAGATTGAAGTAAAATATCCACTGGCCTTATCAAGCATGATAAGTAGAATTAGCACTCCTAGCACTGGCATATTAGTCCTAGAAGCTGTATCTCAGCTCTCATAGTCTATTCTTCGAAAAAAACATTATGTTACATTCAACCCCTCCAAGTGTGTGTTTCATGTGCATCTTCTTGAATATTTGGCCACCTTGCCAGCTCCGACAGTTTGCGTCCCCTCCCATCCAAGGTTGTGGCCATTCGCTATTTTCCTCCATCAACTTCGAATCGTCAGGTACAACGTTTTGTCTGCATGGTGACCTTCTATCTTCGGGTGCTCCTAAACTGTGCTGACCTTATGCTTTCCCTCACCAACCTGCCTTCGGGTTCTTAGGGCACCCTTGACTTTCGCGGCACGGAGTTGACCACTTTTTTTTAGAAAATCAGGTCCTCCTTGCAAACGCTACCCTATCTACACACCCTGCTTGTGAAAGTGTACTGTCTTTGATGGTCGATGCTTTGAATGTACCGATGATGCAGTCTTGCGGCAAAACCTGGTCGATTCAATCCAGTTTTAAGCCACATTTCCTGATAAATTTTCGCCGACTAAAACCTCATGTAGCACCTTTGGCCGTATATTGCTCTACATTCTCGAAGGGGAGGGTTTATTATAGTCATGGGCCCTACACCGCTGACATTTGCTCTGTGATTCTACCCGAAAAATAAAATCCATGAGAGAATAGATATCCGGAATTCATCTCCCAGTTCAAGAAAGGCATCCGTTACATTGAAAGGGGGGCTGGCCTTCGGTTTAAACCCTTGCTCTGTGCGTTTCAAATTATACAGTGGGTGCATTTTAGCGCTAAGTCGCCGGAGCGAAAACGAGGCGGACGTTCCTCCGACCACCAGCGCTGACACCGTCCTCTGTGAGGTACCGACTCCTTTTCATCTTCCGTGTATGTCCCCTCCCCTTGGGGATATCGAGCTGTGTTTCACACTCTTTAAGAACTTTCCTATGCTGGACTCTGAGCTTCTCAAAAGCTCCCCGCGGAAAGCTTTGCCTGGTCTGGCATGGACAAGGACGTCAAAACTTGGGCCCGGTTCTGCCCCACTAGGTCTCCATCCGGCACTT